TCTAAGAGAGAGAGGTGCTCTTAAAAGTCACCTAGTCTGACAGTAACCAAATAATGAAGAAAAGTAATAACCCCACATGAGCATAGTATACTATCTACATAATTATACGATCTGATAAAAAGCTCAAATTAAGGCTGTCTACTTTCCTGAAAGTCTGGCTCCCATGGCCTTTATCTGGGCTAAGACAGACTCAATAAAACCGTTTCTGTGCATGTAAATACGCACTTACCCTCCACATCAAACACTGTATAATCTGAGTAAACTGTAGGGTTCTACAACGTTAGCTGTGTTCACCTCTGCATGGGAAGATTTCCATGATTCTTTGTATTCTATTCTTTCTTCTTCATGTTTTCTCACTGCGAACATAATACTTTTGAAGTTACATGAAATAAATAATACTTTTGAAATTAGAAAAAAGGTCTTTATGAAAGATCATTAAAATATATAAAAAACTTTCAGTTTCTGGTCCAGTATATAACAAGCTGAAATATGCCACTTTGTCCTAAAAATGAGTAAAAAGCTGACCAAACTGAAAAATTGACAACTCTTCTTAGATCCTTCAGAGAAGTGAGGTTACAGGGCAAACTGCTACCCCCAAAATTAGACAGACCAACAGACAAATACAGAGAATTACAAACCTGAGTGGGACCCAGAGCCAAGGTACGGACACCAGAACCGTAACTGACAAACTGCCAGAGGCCTAGCATTACATGTCTGAGAGATAAAAAGTCCAGGGGGACCCAGTCATTAGGGGCCCCCACACTTTTGTGAATTTCACCTTCAGGAGCTCAACCAGGTTCTCACAGTAAATACTAGAGAAAAAATCTCTTGCTTCCTGCGGCAGGAGGGAGAAGGAACCATTTTTAAATACTCCAGAGAATTCTTTGCTTCTTAACAAGGTCTGTCCTCAGGAGAAACTATTTAACCAGAGGCTAACCTGCTGGGATTTAATCAGAGCCTAACTGGCCTGGAGGAAGGAAAACACATAACTCCAGCTTACTCTAACTATCCTATCCCACCTAAGGTCGAGGGGAGTACTGAGAAGCTTGCGTGGAGTTCACAGTCCAGAGGTATGTGCTCACTAAAACATTAAGACCTACTCGTAGGACTACAGAATGCTTCCCAGCCCCCTTCCTCACCATCACATTACCTATTACAGCATTGCCTATTTACAGCAGTTGCTTTTACCCAGTGCATCATGTTCAGCTATCAAGAAAAAATTACAAGACATACTAAAAGGCAAAAAACACAGTGTGAAGAGACAGGGCAAGCATCAGAACCAGACTCTCATATGAGAGGGATGTTGAAATTATCAGACCAGGAATTTAAAACAACTATGATTAAGATGCTAATAGCTCTAATGGGTAAAATAGACAGCACGCAAGAATAGATGGGCAGTGTAAGCAGAGAAATGGAAATCATAAGAAAGAACCAAAATGAAATGATACAGATAAAAAGCACTGTAACAGACATGAGGAATGCCTTTGATGGGCTTATTAGTGGACCAGATGTAGCTGAGGAAAGAATCTCTGAACTTGAGGATATCCAAATAGAAACTTCCAAAAATGAAAAACAAAGAAGAAAAAGAAAAAAAAAAACAGAAAAAAAACACCATGAGAACAGAATATCCAAACTATGGAACAACTACAAGAGGTGTCACATATGCATAATGGTAATACCAGAAGGAGAAGAAAGAGAGAGGAACAGAAGAAATATTTAAAACAATAATGCAATAATCACTAAGAATTTCCCTAAATTAATATCAGACACCAAAACCTTCGATCCAGGAAGCTCAGAGAACACCAAGCATGATAAACACCACAAAAACTATGCCCAGGAATATCATTTCAAGCTATGTAAAAACAAAGATAAAGAAAAAATTCCGAAAGAAGCCAGGGGAGAAAAATACCTGACTAATAGAAGAACAGAGATAAGAATTATATCCAACTTCTCCTCAGGAAGCATGCAAGCAAGAAGAATGTGGAGCGAAATCTTTAAAGTGTTCAGAGAAAAAACCTACCAACCTAGAATTTTATACCCTAATATCCTTCAAAGTGAAAGAGAAATAAGACTTTTTCAGAAAAACAAAAATTGAGAGAATCTGTTGCCAGTAGACCTGCTTTTCAAGAAATGTTACAAGAACTTCCTTAGAGAGAAGGCAAATGATATAAATCAGAAACTTAGGTCCACATAAGCAAGAGAAGAGCAGCAGAGAAGGCTAAGTGAAGGCATAAAAAAATTTTTATTTTTCTTATTCTTAACTAATCTAACAAATGAGTTTGTTCAAAATAACAATAGCAACAATGTAGTCAATCATATATGCTTATGTGTATATTATATACATATATATGTCTATATATGCTTATGTATGCTTATGTATAAGTGAAATGAGTGACAGAAATGATACAAAGGATAGGCAGGAGGAATTAGAATTGTTTTTATTATTGGGAGGTACTTGCACCACCCATGAAGCAGTATAGGGTTCTTTGAAAGTGGACTTGGATTAGGTGTAAATGGATACTGTAAACTCAAGGGCAAGCATTTAAAAAAATTTTTTTAAGCATAACTGATATGCTAAGAAAGGAGAGAAAATGGAATCATACAAAATGCTCAACTAAAACCACAAAAGGCAGAAAAAGCGTGGAAGACAAAAAAAGGAACAAAGAACAGGGGCAACAAAAAGAAAACCGTAAAGAATCTGGTAGATATTAATCCAACTATATCAGCAATCACTTTGAAAGTCAGTGACAAGACAGAGATTGTCAGAGTGTATCAAAAAACAAAACAACTCTATTTTGTATGCAAGAAACTCATTTTAAATATAAAGCATGTACAGATAAAAAGTAAATGGATGGAAATATACTATGCTAACACTAATCAAAATATGAAAACAAGAGTAGCTATATTAATTTCAGACAGAGCAAACTTCAAATCAAAAAAAGTTATCAAAGATAAAGATGGTATTGCATATGATAATGGGGTCACTTCTCCAAGAAGTCATAACAATCTTTCACATCTATATGCCTAATAATGGCACATTAAAATATGTGAGGCAAAAACAGACAGAAATGCAAGGAAAAATAGATGAATAGGCTATTATTGCTGGAGATTCCAACTATATTAGAAATGGACATACCCATCAGGCAAAAAATTACTAAGGATATAGTTGAACTCAACAACACAATCAACTGGATATAATTGACATCTACAGACTGCTTCATCCAACAACAGGAGAATACACCTTCCTCTCATGCATACATGGAACATTCATCAAGACAAACAACATTCTGAGCCATAAAACCCATCTTAACAAATTTAAAAGAAGAGAAGTCATATCATGTCTGTTCACAATCACAATAGAATTAAACTAGAAATCAATAAGAGAAAAATAGCTAGAAAATACCAAACATTTGGAGATTAAACAACACACTTCTGAATAACACAGGGTCAAAGCAAAAATCTCAAGAGACAGTTCAAAGTATTTTGAACTAAATTAAAATCAAAACAAAACATCAAAATTTGTGGGATGCAGGGAAAGCAGTGCTTGGAGGGAAATTTATAGCACTGAGTGCATATATTAAAAAGAAAAAGCTCTAAAATCCATCATAGAAGCTTCCACTTTAGGAAACTAGAATAAGAGCAAATTAAATCCAAAGCAGGCAGATGAAAAGAAATAATAAAAATCAGAACAGAGATCAATGAAATTGAAAACAGAAAATCAATACAGAAAAATCAGTGAAACCAAAGCTAGTTCTCTAAAACAATCAATAAAATCTATAAGCCTGTAGCCAGGCTAACTAAGAAAAGAAGGAGAGGGCACAAACTACTAATATAGAAATGAAAGAGGGGATATCACTACAGATGCCATGGACAGTAAAAGGATAATAAAGGAATACTATGAACAACTCTATGCCTACAAATTTGATAACCTAGATGAGATGGACCAATTCCTTCAAACATGCAATCTGCCAAGACTCACAGAAGAAGAAATAGAAAATGTGAATAGGCCTCTATCTATTAAAGAAATTGAATCAGTAATTAACAACCTTCCAAAACAGAAAGAACCAGGCCCAGATGGGTTCAATGGTGAGTTCCACCAAACGCTTAAGGTATAAATTATAACAATTCTCTACAATATCTTTCAGAAAATAGAATCAGGGAGTGTACTTCCTAATTCATTCCATGAGGCCCACACTGACCTAATAACAAACCAGAGAAAGACATTACAAGAAAAAGAAACTACAGACCAGTACCTCTCATGAACATAGATGCAAAAATTCTCAAAAAAAATTGAATCAATTCGATATTGTTCAATTCGATACTGTTCAATAAAAGTAAATTGAATCCAACAGAGTCTAAAAGGAATTATACACCATGACCAAGTGGGATTTATCCCGGGTATACCATGCTAGTCCAGCATTCAGAAATCAATTAATATAATCCATTACATCAACAGGCTAAAGAAGAAAAATCACATGATGATATCAACAGATACATAGAAAACATTAGACAAAGTCCAACACCTATTCCTGATAAAAACTCTCAGGAAACTAGAGATAGTGGGGAACTTCCTCAGCTTGATAAAGAATATCTACAACAAACTTTCAGCTAACATCACGGTCGACGGGGAGAAATTCGAAGCTTTCCGGTTAAGATGAGTAACAAGGCAAGGACGTCCTCTCTCACCACTGCTTTTTCTCTGGGCCTGTTTCCTAGACTGTAATATAAGAGGGGTGAGTAGACGGTCATTTAAGATTCTTTCTAGCTCAGATACTCTAAGTACTTTCCCTTTCCCATCCCCTTATACCGCATCCCACCCCTCTTTAAGGTTCATTACCTGAATCCATTATCAATCCATCTTCCTTTCCCCTCTTGTCTCCTTTTCTGAAAAGTCACCAGGAAACACTTGACCAAAGCATGCTCAGTAATCAAGTTTGCTTAAACTCTAGAAAAGTTTTTTGTTTGTTAGTTTATTTTCCATTTAAAATCAAAGTCCTACATTTTCATCTGTTATTTCTGACATAGAAAAGTGTAGAGAGGAGGGGGAGGTAACAGAAAAGATGCTCCATGGCAGCAGACGTGCTGCTGCATTCTTACCTGGGCATCAGACTCCAGCCAAAGAGCAGCTAACTTGGGAATGAACTAAAATGAGGCCATCGTTAACTCTTTGCACTATCTGGGCAGGGCAGCATGGGCGGCACAAATTGTACTTTGCATCTGGAGTGGGGGGTGGGCAAGAAAGATGCGGTGCGGGGAGGCAGCTGCCCAGATCAGAAACATCGTGCAGCATCTCTGCATGAGAAGAAAGGTGCATTTGGCTGGGCAAGTTCCTAGGGGGAAACTGCCCGGGGCCGCGGGAGTCAAGCGAGCTCGGAGCTGCGCCCGCGCGGCCCGCGGAGGCGCGGAGGCGGAGGCGGGGCCGGGGCGTCCGCAGAACCGCGCGCTCCAGCTCTGCCGCTGCCCGCGCACCCGGGTGTGCGAGGTCGCGGAGGACCTGGTTCAGCTTGAGTGGGATACGCAGCCCCGAGAACCTTCCACGTCCTGAGGACCGCGGTGCGGCCATGGGCTACCAGGGAGAGCGGCCCGCCGTCCCGCCGCAGGTAAAACTGGAGACTGGGGCAGGTTCTGAAGCCGGGTCCCTTCAGGTTTCATTCACCCTGCAACAGAGGTGGCCTCCTTCACCTGGGGTCTTGGTTTAGCACCACGGAAAGTTCTCCGGGAGAAAAAAATTGCCGTGATCTAGTTTTTCTTGGCAGGCACTTTCTAACATAACCCCTTTGATTCACAGAATCACACCTTTGGCTCTCTAACAGATCCTGTACTCTGGGACTCCACGCTGCAGTCTGGGAACATTTTAGGATGGAGATTGTTTCCACAGCTCTGCTGAACTAGTAGCTATTATTGTTATTCTTTATTGTCATCTTCACCGTTTTCTCATTGTTATTGACGTTACTTACTATACTACTAATATCGTGTTAGTCTGCTACATTGCATATTTGTCTGACAATTTTCAAATTCTTTGAGCTACTAAATATTTGTTTGCCATTTTTATATTAAAACAGAGCAATCTAGATGACAGAGAAACGCTCGTTTCTGAACATAAGCACAAAGGGAAAACTTGTCGTCAGTCAGCTGCTGTTTTTAATGTTGTCAACTCAATTATAGGATCAGGTATAATAGGTAAGTGTTTTGGGTTTTTTTCTTTTAATTTTAAGTGAAAAGGCCAAATTTAAGTCTAATTACTAGTGTTCATTAGTTTGAAAGGAAAAGATCTTAAATGATAAAATTGATAACTTTCGTCCTTTTTAAAAACCTTCCCTTTTTTCCAATGTAACAATGAACATCACATCAGTCTCTTATGCTGAAGACGGGATTGTGATTCACACTCCTTCCACATTTGAGAGCATCCTCTGCATGTGGCAGATTAAGGTAGAAGAGCTGCATGTGGGAGATGCTGAGATTTTTTTTTCCGTAGGCTGCACAGTCAATTGATAATATCACCAACCTTACTTTTTTCTCCTCTTCCTGAAGTGTTCACTATTACTTGTCACTTTTCTATGATCAGAATCACCTTTCTATGTCTAGAAAGATGTAAAATCTCCAGATATTTGTAAGTATTGGAGGTACAAAAAGTGTAATGTGTAAACATAACAGTCTTGTGAAAAATTAAACCATACAATATCTCCTTACCCATCTATAGTCTTAAATTTTCAAAGTACAATCTTATTATGATATATTAATTTTAAATATCATTTACTCAATACAGAGAAATTGGTTAAATGAAAACACATTTTTTTTTAACAGAGGAGCCAAATAATCAGAATTGAAAGAAATGAGCAGCTCATATTTTCCCAATTTGAAGCAAGGGTAAAATTCTGACAAAATTAAGTGCATTGCATGACAGTAATAAAGGAGGTTGTTTTTTCGGTGCTTATTATTCTTTTTGTTATTCAAAAACATCCAATTTAAGAAAAAGCAGGGGCAAAACAAAATCCTGCAGTGCTCATTGAGAATATTACTTTTCCTATAAATTTTTGACATTTTAGTCACAGTCACCATTGAACATTTATCTAGATTGAGTCATTTTTCTCACCTTTCACAAGTTGATGCATATCTTGATTTTACTTGTTTCCATATGTAGACTTTTTATTTCAAATGGTACATAAAATGGAAGTGCCTGAGGTGAGGGAGTAGCATGAAGGGGCGAGGCCGCGTTTGAAGTTGTGCCCACATGTACCCCGGAGGTGTGGGCCGCTCCGCTTGGCAAAATTCCAGACTTAATTCCTGAGGTGAACACTGGAAGCTGATCTATGTCAGCAACATTAAAAAGTACCTCTTAATTATGCTCAGCAGGGTTCTTTAAGGGAAATTTTCCGGAGAATAAAAATTCTGGGTGGAAATATTTTAAATATGTTTTATTTGAAATATTTTATTGTCCAGCATGTAAAATTATTTCCAAAAATAATTCATAAGAAATAATTTCATATACCCCCTTCAGCTTTATAAAAAGTACTTCGCCAGCTCATTTTTCTCTCCTTTTCCTATATCGTTACCCATTTTGAGTCCAGAGTGTGTCTTTTCTCACATCCCATAACCCTTCTGTGCTCTTGTCCTCTCTGCTTTCCCAGCCAGCACATGAGAAAAGCTTTGGGTCCTTAGTCTTCACGTTTTCTGGGACATATGTTCCCCTTATCCTGAAGTGAATGTTATTTGTGTGAACTGGCATCTATTTTTCGTTTACTGCTTTCTTATTCCTATTCCATCACCTCTTAAACTTGCTCTCTTGACATATCCTTAGTTATAACATTTTATTCTGAAGTTAGTATTAATACGCTAACATTGAATTTCAGTAGTCATATGCACTGTGTACAACTATGTCATATAAATATGTCAATTTACTTAGCCTATTATATACAGAAATTGGGGAGAAATTTCTGTATTTCTATGTTTTATTAATGTGATGGGTGGGGCATTTTATGTCTTTCCAGGATTGCCTTATTCAATGAAGCAAGCTGGCTTTCCTCTGGGAATATTGCTTTTATTCTGGGTTTCGTATGTTACAGGTAAAATATTATATAATTACTTATTCCCACAAGTTAAGTTGTACAATGACCATTTTACACACACACACACACACACACACACGCACACACACCCTGTAATTGAATTCCCTAATTAAAAGTGCATCAAAAAATCCTAAAGAATTTAGACATTTGTGTCTGAGGAGATTTACTTTTCTTGCTAATCCTCTGAGCAGATTAGAGAAGCATTGTATATTGCCAGGCCTAAATCCTTTTCATGTGCCTTTTTCACTTTATGCAGAAAGTGGTAGATGGAGTCATTTTAAAGGCTGATTAAGGCTGGGAGAGACTGTGCTCTGAAAGTGTAGACGTCGGGGCTTCCTTACCCACAAAACTCATGGGCAGGTACACACGAATGAGCAGCCTTTTCCAGCTATGTTTATGCAGGTGGAACTGAGCGCCCTCGTGCTCAGCCAGCAGGGCTCGCCGCCCCCTCCCCACCTTGCCCATGTCTGCCCGGCTCCCTGCCTGCCGCTATCTTTAAATGCAACAATAAGATGCTTCCACCTCACTTCTTCCCTTCTGCTTCCCTCTTTTCATGTAACGTGTTCATTCACAGCCGCATTTTGCCACTCCCCCTGTAAAGTGTACGCTTTCAACTCATCATCACCTCCTCTCCCTGTTGTCTTCATCCCTGCCCTGTCAACCCGCCAGCTCACCTCATGACAAACTCAGGGTCTTTCCTCCACCTTAGGATCACTGTGGAAGAGGCAGCAATCATACCACCTGCAGTGGCTGCTGCTATGGCAGCCTCTATATGTGTCACCTAGATGCCCTGTTACCAGGTCATGCAGAACACCTCAGCGTCCCCTCTCCAGAGTGTTGACCTGGGCCTCAATGGCTCTGCCTTCCTGTGAGGTTATGACCCACAGCCTTCAGCCAATGACAAAAGCTGGCCTCCTTGCCTCCAGGAGGGACCAAAGTGTGGTGCACTTGGAGCTCCAGAGTGCCACCACCACAGGACTAGGCTGCAGCTCGTCTCCACCTGAGACCTGAGACCACGTCCTTACGGAGCTGTTGCCCCTGCCCTAGCCTCTCCCTCCCCTTCTCCTGAGAGCACTCCCTCAAGACCCTTGCCGGAGAGGCTCTGTCTCAGCTCGGCTCTGGAAACCCTGACCAAGAGCCCTCCCTCATCAAATTTCAGACTTCCAAGACCAGCCTTTAGCTCTGCTGTTGTCCCTTTGGCTGAGGAAGAGAGAGTAAAGCATGCAGTAGGTACCAAAGTCAGAGCTGCAGAGGCACTGGACTCTCTTCCTCCCTGCTTTCTTCTCAGCACCCCAACTCCCAAAATCTAAGCTGCTTTTACCTTCTACAGTTCTAATTTGTAGCTTAAGACCCAGAACATAGTAATGTGGGACCCATTACTTTGTGCTTATTCAGGGTTGCTGGTGTTTAAAAATTGCATTCTATTCATGAGAGCATTTATTACACTGAAAAATCCCATTCAAGGATTTACCCTGTGGGGCTGGCCCAGTGGCATAGCGGTTAAGTTTGCATGTTCTGCATCAGTGGCCCGAAGTTTGCAGGTTCGGATCCCAGGCGCAGACCTACACACTGCTTGGCAAGCCATGCTGTGACAGGCGTCCCACATATAAAGTAGAGGAAAATGGGCACTCAGGGCTAGTCTTCCTCAGCAAAAAGAGGATTGGTGGCAGATGTTAGCTCAGGGCTAATCTTCCTTAAAAAAAAAAAAAAGATTTAATGTTGCCATTTTTAATTTCCTCTTTCCCAGTCAATCAGCACTGACAGATTATTAATTCCCACCCAGGCATAATAACCATGGCTTATTTAAGTGTACTGTAAATATTTGCACACGTTGTAAAGCAGTAGATAGAAAAAATTAAAATACATGTCACCGAAGAATTCAATACTTGAGGGGAGTAAACAGTTTACCAAAGCCAAATCACGTTATACGTAAAGAAATCATACTGTGAGTAACGTCCTCACCTGATGCTGTACGTCAGCCTGCAGCAATGACTGGGAGCAGTGCTTTGCAAAGTCGTATATTGCAAAGTTACCAATCAGTGGAAATTAGCTACTCATTTTAGTTGCATGATCAAAATCCTTAAATAATTTTGATAAAGGGTGGCCACACAGAAGCAAAAAAAATTATAGACTATAATTCCTTTTTTTTTTTTTTTGCCTTTTTCTTCTCCCCAAAGTCCCTCAGTACATAGTTGTATGTTTTACTTGTGAGTGCCACTGGTTGTGCTATGTGGGACGCTGCCTCAACATGGCCTGATGAATAGCGCCATGTCCGCACCCAGGATCCGAACCAATGAAACCCTGGGCCACCAAAGCAGAGCACGTGAACTTAACCACTCGGTCAGGGGGTCAGTCCCCATTTTATTTCTTAATTGGGCTTTTAAGAGCAAAATCTACAAGTAAGGTATAATATTGAGGTTTTTCTCTAAATTGACACTGTAATTACACAATGGTTTGTCTCTACAATTACTATTTTGTCTTTTTAAGGCCTCTAATGGGATATGTCCAAATCAAGAGGTAGTTTTTCTAAGCTCTGTTTTCATGGTTGTGAAATATTGGGTAACAACAAAGAATTATAAATACTTAAGCAAATAGTTTTATTTTAATTTGCTTTAAGATTTTCAAATTTGTTGATTAGAATAAAATAATTTCTTTTTTTGTGGTGATGAAGATTGGCCCTGAGCTAACATCTGTGCCAGTCTTCCTCTATTTGTTGTATTTGAGACACCTCCACAGCATGATGACTTGATGAACGGTGTGTTGGTCTGCGCCCGGGATCTGAACTTGCAAACCCTGGGCCACCGAAGCAGAGCGCGTGAACTTAACTGCTATGCTACTGAGCCAGCCCCTAGAGGAAAATAATTTTTATTGTCCAAGCATACATAATAATTTAAAAGAAAATTTTCCTGTTGAATGACAGACTCATTCAAGGATTATCTAAAATTTTCATACAATATATTTAAAGTGAGATCAAAATGCTATAGTGACTGATATTTCAGCTTTCTAAAACTTTTAAGAGATATATTTGTAGCCTGTATTTTACAAGTAGCTTAAAGCACTTATTATTGACTACATTTTTAGCAAATTGTTAACTAAATTATTGACTCGATTCTTAGCAAATGCTAACTTTAAGTAATATGTTTTGAACTTCCGTAAAAGTCAGCATTCTCATCTCAAGCATATAGTTCTTCCCCAAAATGTCACAACTTCTGTGAAATTGGTTACCTCCTCCCTGTTACTCACGTCTTCATTGATTCTCTTCCCAGGTCAGTATGTTACTGTTCAGTCTTCCTGCCTTTAGCATCCATCCACTCTCTATATTGCTGCAAGAGTTCTCTCTATAAAACCTCAGCCTGATTTCTGTTACTCTCCCCATCAAAACATTCCAAAACTCTGTAATGACAACAGAAAAGAAATGATTGCATTCAAATTTCAAATTTCTGCAGTTTGGCCACAGTCTGCATTTTTAGTCTCCTCTTTCACTAACCTAACTTCTCTTTCACCTTGTCACCAACACTGCCATATGTGGAACTCGCGTTTTAGCCATTCTGGACTATTCCATTCCCCACCTATTGAATATGCTTTTGTGCTGCCTTCTCACGGATAGTCCCTTGCTTGACATTCTTTTTCCTCTCCACCTGATGAAATCCTGTTTATCCTCGAAGGCACTACTCAACTCTTCTATGAAGCTTTTCCCAGTCTTAAACAAAGGAAAATAATTAATTGCTCTGTCCTTTGTGCTTGCAGAATATCTTTAAATATAATTATTAGGTAATTTATCACATTGAATTTGAATCCAATATGTAGACATCTAGCAATTCTGCTCTATTGATCATTGTTTCATTCAACAGATATTTACTGACACTGATGCCATTATAGCCATGAAGAACATTATTCTTACCTGTGTGAAGCTCACAATGTGGTGTGTCAGGCAGACAAAACCACATAATTATAGTACTTCATGAAAAAACACCATAATAAAAATATATGCACGATGATAGGGATACTGGCATTTAACCCAGCCTCAACGGAGCAGGCATTTTTCGGGGTGGAAGAGACACCTCTACTGACCGTTTATGGAAAAGTGTGAGTGAGCGAAGAAAATGGAAGGGTACTCCAAGCAGATGGAGATGTGAAAATGCAAAGGGAACTGTGTAAGTGAACCAGTCTGGCTAGAGTGTAGGCTTGGTGTTCGTGACTGGAGAGAGACGAAGGCAGAGAGGTTTGCAGAGGCATCTATGCAGGCTCCCGTGTAATGCTAATCATGACCGTGTCCTGAGGACCAGCTAGATGCCGAGCATAACTCGGCCACTGCTCTTAAGCCTTCTGACTCCATGAAGTAGGTATTCATGTTCTACTTTTATGAAGGAGGGAATTGAGACTTTAATAGGTTAAAATGACTTGCTCAAGGTCTGCAGTTACTGGTAACAGAGCTGAGATTTTTATAAAGTGCATGGATTCTAGGGCCAGACTACCAGGATCTGAGTCCTGACTCTTCCTTACCAGCTCTGTGAAGTTTGGAATTCGCTTAACCTTCTGCGTCTCCCTTTTCTCATCTATTAAATGGGGGATAATAATGGCACCTACTTAGGATGGTTGTGGAGATTAAAGAAGTTAATATACATAAAGCATTTGGAAAGAGGCCTGGCACGCAGAAAGCCTTGTGAGATTATTTGCTGGTATTTTTGTGGCTATTATCATTATTATTATCACTGTTATTGGACCCCAAAAGCAATGCTTTTTCTACCACCACATGCAGCCTATAGAAGATAACCAAAAATAGCACAGATTCTCATGCATTTTGGCTCTATAATGTGCCAGGCATTTGGTCGCCATTTAAACAGCATAAACCTCACAGACTCTTCAAGGTTGCTGTATTGCCTTACTTTACAGAGGAGACTCAGGAAAGTGAAGTCCTTCGCCTAAGATCACACAGCTAATAAATAATTTTTTTCTGCCTCATGAAAACGAGTTGATTTTTATCCTAAGGCATTAGAGAATTCCCCTGGAGGATTTGTTTTTCCTTCTTTCTTTCTTTTTTTTTTTTTTTTGAGGAAGATTAGCCCTGAGCTAACTGCTGCCAATCCTCCTCTTTGTGCTGAGGAAGACTGGCCCTGAGCTAACATCTATGCCTATCTTCCTCTACTTTATATGTGTGACGCCTACCACAGCATGGCGTGCCAAGCGGTGCCATGTCCACACCCAGGATCCAAACCGGAAAACCCCCGGCCTCCAAAGCGGAACGTGTGCACTTAACTGCTATGCCACCGGGCAGGCCCTGGCGGATTTTAAGCAGAAGACATGAGCAGGTTTACACTGCAGTCAGATCCATCTGGTAGAGGAGGAATGTCAAGAAAGTCTTGGTAGGAAGGGGATGTCAAAAGTGTCTTGATGGAGGGCCAGATTGGTGCCTGAGATTTCTATTAGGAGATGTTGCAGTAATCCAGGTGAGAAGTGATAAAGGCCTAAACCCTCAAATAAAGCAGGTTAGAGATTAGAAGTGAGGGGGTACAGTTGAATAATTTATGATGCAGTAATTAATGGACTTGGTGACCAAGGGAATACAGAAGGTGGTAGATAGAAGTCTAAAGCAATTCTCAAGTTTCTGTTGATACTATTCACAGTTTAGAGAAATGTGGATGGAGACACGGGTTCCAGAACAAACATATACGTTAGAATTGGGGTATTTAAAATAAAGATTCCTATGAGATCTCCAAGTTAAAGTGATTATTAGATAGCTAGATGTAGAAATCTGGAGTTTTAGAGGAATCTGGGTTAGAGATACCAATTTGGGGTTTACTAACATCGTTTGAAAATTGAAACCCCAGGCAAGAATACAATCACAGTGGGACATCTCAAAGAGTGAGAAAAAAGTCCAAGAAGCCGGGGGTTGAACAGAGTAAAAGAAACTGGTAAGAAACTGAGTATAAATTGCCAAAAAGGTAGGAGGAAATTCAACAGAAAGTGATGTCATAAAGGCCAAAGGAGGATGGTTGAGAAAGGGGAATGGTAAACAGGAGAAAAATGCTACTGAAAGAGGAAATAAAATAAAGATTTAGGAGGTGCCAGTTGGATTTATGAACTTGGAGCTTATTGTTGACCTTCTTGGAAGAAGTTTTAATGACATGGAAGGGAATCGAGGTGGAAACCATATTGCAATGATTTGTATTTTCTTCTTTGTATTTTATGCATTTCTAAATCACTTAAAGGATAAAATAAAAAATCACCTGTGATGGAAGCATGAGCAAGAGCAAAGAGAAAGCAAGAAGCGCACGTGTGCATAGCTGTGTACCCAACATGACTGCAGCGTTGTTCACAAGGTGTTCCAAAAATGTTGAGTTAAATGAAAAAAAAGAGAGAGATTAACTTTTAATTATATAATTTATACATATTTTTATCTTTACTTTCAGCTCTAAAATTGGAACTTAAGTCTCTAAAATGTAAATTTAAAAAAAATTCTTAGAGTACTCTCTTAACCATAATAACTATAAAATAAAATTAATAGTTGTACTGTGTTATAAAACAAAGAATTTGATTCCCCTAAGTATATGTTTTTTCTGAATGCTTACAGCGTTTTTCATTTGCAGTCTTTACATGTTGATGCCTATGGAATATTTGATTTTTTCATTCGCAGTCTTTACATGCTGGATGCCTATGAAATATTTGATCTTTTCATTCGCAGTCTTTACATGTTGGATGCCTATGAAATATTTGATTATCTGCATTCTGTTGCTCAGACAATTAGCCACATCCTGTTAACAGTCGTTGCGTTGGTTAGGTTAGGAAAGTAAAATGGAAAAGTGACGCTTTGACTCCAGTCTGCGTACCCTCTTTTGTCAAGTTCATTGCACGGATATGTTAAGTATATTTGCATCTTGATTGAAAAAAATATATGACTGGAAACAGTACTCTTTCATGAAAGATAATGTTTTATGAAAATAAGCCTTGTCATGCTAATCTACTGTAGCATTAAATTAAACTCTTTTTTAAAATTTCCCTTTTTCTTTAAGTCAGAACATGAAAAACCTTTGTATTAAATGTAATCTGACATTTGTTTGTTATTTTGCCACAGACTTTTCCCTGGTTTTATTGGTAAAAGGAGGGACCCTCTCTGGAACAGACACTTACCAGTCTTTGGTCAATAAAACCTTCGGCTTTCCAGGATATCTCGTCCTCTCTGTTCTACAGTTTTTGTATCCTTTTATAGGTAAGATTCGGGTGAAAATGAATATTGTCATTATTTGCATAAAAATACAGCCATCTCTGAATAAAATAGTTTTAATAGGCATTAAATAGTCATTAAGGAATACTAGCCGTTGAAATATTTTCCATGTTAAGTGTTTACATCTTTAGCCATTTTCCCCTTATTTTCTGGTTCTTTTCATTGGTTTTCTGAGTATTTCATTAAAATCAAGTGAGGATGATTTTCAATAGGTTAATGCTTGTGCTTCCAAATTTTGGTGAAAAATACAATGATCAGGAAGTAAAAGTGAGTGAGAGAAATAATAGATTTCTTCTAAGGCTGAAATATGTTTTTTTGAAAACCTAAGGATTTGTGGAAGCTGTCTACAAGGCCAAAATGCTATTTAAAGTTTGTAACATAATGGTGGGAATGTCACCTAGCACTTCTTAAATAAGTAAAATGTTAACATTCACCTATGGCCAAATTGACTTCATTGTTTAAATCAGTAATACAGATGCTATTGTTCAAACCACTAGCTCCTTATGTCTCCACAGAGGCTTAGCATGTGTTTCCCCAAAATCTTCCCGTTTCCAAATGAGGGGATATTTTGGAGCCTTCACAATTTTCTGTTATTGTTCCCTCACTTTGAGTAATACACGTGTTTCTGAAAAAGTATTCGTAAACTGAATTTTAATAACAAAACAAATTGCATTTTATTTGTTTAATTTTTTTGGTGAGGAAGATTGGCCCTGAGCGAACATCTGTCACCAATCTTCCTCTTTTCGCTTGAGGAAGATTGATGCTGAGCTAACATCTGTGCCAATCCTTCTCCACTTTGTATGTGGGATGCCACCACAGCATGGCTTGATGAGTGGTGTGTAGGTCCACACCTGGGATCTGAACCCACAAACCACAGGCCGCTGAAGCAGAGCACACAAACTTAACCACTACACCAGCGGGCTGGCCCCAACAAATTGCATTTTAAATCACGACCAAAACTTAATATTATTAAAGATGTTCTAGAAAGAATCAATTTGTAAAGTGAAAACCTTTCTGTAGCAAAAATTGATATTCTCCCATAAATCTGTGGTCTACTTGTTTTTAAAGTTGTGCATATTCATAATCACAGCATATATTTAAAAGTTGTAAGATTATACCAATATTTGGGAAGTAATAACTGATGACTTTCAGAATATTGAAGATGAAATCTGTGATGGCTTGTTGGTGATGGTATTATTTTAATTATGTTTTTAGCTATGATAAGTTACAACATAATAACTGGCGATACTTTAAGCAAAGTTTTCCAAAGAATACCAGGAGGTAAGCCAATATATTTATTTCATAGAGTTGTTCATAGTTAAAGTGGTTCATAGTAATTTACAAGTAAAATATTTGCAAGTGGAGGAGTTCTTAGCTGTTTAAAAAACATCGTTACTATTCATATAGTTAGAATACTTTATATTTTGCATATCTTACGTGACATATCACCACCTCTCTGTAGTGACATTTTTTCATGTACTCTTTTTACTACACCATTTGTTAAATAAGCAAGCTGAGGGGCTGGCCTGGTAGCGCAGTGGTTAAGTGCACATGTTCCACTTCTTGGCGGCCTGGGGTTCGCTGGTTTGGATCCCAGGTGTGGACATGGCACCGCTTGGCAAAAGCCATGCTGTGGTTGGCATCCCACATATAAAGTAGAGGAAGATGGGCACAGATGTTAGCTCAGGGCCAGGCTCCCTCAGCAAAAAGAGGAGGATTGGCAGTAGTTAGCTCAGGGCCAATCTTCCTCAAAAAAAAAGCAAGCTGACCTTTTCCCCATTATTTAAGGTATAATTTAATATAGTAAAATTAACTCTTATTAATGTATAGTTCTGTGAGTTTTGACAACTGCATATAATCATATAATCACAGCCACAATTGAAATATGGAACAGTGCCATCCCCCTCCCACATTTTCCCTCTTTCCCTGTGTAGTCAAACCTCCCTCGTCTCCAGCCCCTGTCAACCACTGGTCTCATTTCTCTCCCTGGTTTTCCTTGTTCTAGAATGCCAAGTAAATGACATCACATAGTATGTAGGCTTTCGTGTCTGGCTACACTTAGTCCATTTGAGATTCGTCCTTGTTCTGGGGTGTATCAGTCATTTGCTCTTTTTTGTTTTTAATTGTTAAGAAGTGTTCCATTGTATGGCTGCATAACAGTTTATCTGTCACCAGTTGAGGGACATTTGGGTTGTTTCCAGTTTGACATTTATGAAAAAGCCGCTGTGAACATTTCAAGCAGACCTTTTCAGCATGTGCCACAACCCCACTCCCTGTTCAGTCTTTCACCATAGCACGGCTATTTGAATAATTCAGAAACCGTGAGTCTTTTTGCTTTGAAGAGCTTCTCATCCAAGCCACTTATTCCCCATTTCATAGGGACCTAACTCTATAGTTGTTATTACAGTCAAAATTGATGCAAAAACACATTTCCCCTTACTGCTTGAATCACTCCTTCCAGAGACATACAAAACAAAATCTAAAATTAGAAATTGCACCTATTCTTCTCACAGAGTTTAGTGGAAACGGAAATCAGGGAGACTTGACCGTCAAATCAGACCCTCCACTTGCTAGCTGTGTGACCTTGGAAGGGTTAATGCCCTCTCTGAGTTATGGTCTCTTCATCTCTAAATTATGAATTAAAGTATCACCTGCTTCCTAGGATTATTGTGTGAAAAAGAGGTAATACAGACAGTATCTAGCATACAGTAGGCTTATCCCACACTGCAATCTGCAGCTTCTGTCCTAGCCCTCAACCACCAAATCATGTTTTCATAAACTGAGATCATGTGAGTGAATGGAATGCTAAGAAAAAAATGAGCAGAGTATAATACTGTATATACAATATGATCTAAATTATGTAAATTTTCCATTTCCATAAATAAAGAAAAAATATATTCACATGTAAACTGTGGTTTTCTGTTAATTTTGGGACCCCTGGGATTTTTTTATTTTTCATTTTTTCAGAGAAGCATGTATTAATTTGGAAAGAAATATTTTTTGCTTTATTTTCTTATTTGAGAAGTAATTCATATTTATTGGGAAAATATTAGAAAACAGAGATAAGCCAAATAGACGCGATAGAACATACTCATAATCTCTTTCTCTTTAGACAACCAGGTAGGGACCATCCTTCCAAGAACTTCCATCCTTCTGTCCTTCCTTGCTTCCTTTTTAATGTACACATTCAGTTTTTAAGACTGCGTGTACCTTTGGATATTCATGTGAATAAGATAACATTACACATCTTGTTCTGAAACGTGCTTCGTTCTCTTAGACATTCATTAGGAACACATTCTCCTATCATAACATAGAGATCTATCTTATTTGCTTTAATGGCAGTTCAATATTCTGTATAGTATCTACTATACAGGGAGATGGACCATAATTAAATTAATTTCCCCTGAAAGAAACATTTTGATAATTAATTTTTATTTATTTTTAATTTTAAAAATAATATATAAATATATACTCATCGTAAAAATAAAACATCCTAGATAAGGCTAAAGTTCCCTTTGAAACCCCTTCCTGGTTATTAATTTTATAGTCATCAAAAATGACTTTTAAAAAATAGGTCACATTGCAAAGAACACACTTAACTCATCACAGTTTAATCACTGTTCTTGAATGTGATATTTTATAATGTATGCTATGTTTGTATATCTTATAAAGCATAATATAATGCCAAAGTCTTTTTAGAAGTAGAAAAATTCCTTAGCAAAGCTGTACTTTTTTTCCTGAAATATATCACTAATGCTTTAGACTGGCATGTGGTCAAATGCTTATACTTTTCTCAGGTAACCAAAGCCTTGGTTCTTTTTTCTCTTCTTTTTTTGCCAAGGAAGATTTGCCCTGAGCTAACATCTGTAACAACCTTCCTCTGTTTTGTATGTGGGTTTCCACCACACCGTGGCCACTGGTGAGTGGTGGGGGTCCTTGCTTGGGATCAAACCCAGGCCACTGAAGCAGAGCACACCAAACTTAACCACTAGGCCATGGGGCCAGACCTAAAGCCTTTCTTCTTGATACAAGTCAAACTAATGTTGTGTAAAAAGTAGTGTGTTTAAACGATTTTGCAATTTTTCAAAAATTTAAGTATTCGATTTTCTTGACTATTGTTTAAACATTTAAAGTGTGTATCCAGGTGCGTTTTTGTTAGAAGATCAGTATAGGTAATAGATCTCATCATTAGATCATTGGTGAAAAATGTCCTTTCTGCTAAAGAAGATCCTCAGTTATTAGGCTCCTACGTGCTATTCATAGCAGGCTACCTCAGTGTTTTTCTAGGCCTTAGAATTTTCCCAGTGAAGGAAATATATTTTCTACCAAACATATTTAGTAGAGCAAATGGTTTGAAGGTGTAAGTAGAAACAGATATACAAATAACTTAATTCAGATTATGTTCACCAGACAGACGTGAACAGTTGAGTTCAGGGTTTGGGAAACTTTAACTTCCTATTTTCTTATTTAATTCACAATTTTATCATGATTGTTTAGTTATAGCTGAGTTGAACAAATACTAATGATTAAGTATTCCATTCTAGTATGTGTGTGTGTGAAATTTATGCCCTTTTGAAATTCCTAGCTTGAAACTTCCTTGTAAGTTAGTTTATTGGCCATATCAGAAAATTAGTCTCACTTTTTAGAGTAACAGCTCTTTTTTTAAAAAATCTCACTTATTTGACTTGACTTCTATAGACTTTAGACTTTGCAGAAATTAATGCATAAAGATTTGGTAGGTACCACTGAAGACATTTCAAAAATATAATGACATGATCTCTGAAAGAATTCAGAATGAGCTAAAAAAATTTAAACAATAGTGTCTTCATTGGAATAGATGTACAGCTCCTGAAGTGAATACTGTGATTAGCACAGCTTAAAAATATATAAAGCCTTGTAGGTATGTTTATTTTATGTTTACAGATTTTGTTTGTGTTTGATGATAGACACACACACACACACAGACTGTTATCTGCTCATTCTGATAGGCAAGAGTCTGCGGTGTATACCAGACCCAGCAGCTTCCCTGTGACTTCTCTATCCAAGTTTCTTCTGTCTGCTTTCCTTCCGGGAAAACACTTCTCTCTCAACAAAAGGATAGAAATTTGTGAATATTTTTATCCGAACCTTGATTTTTGAAATTTTGCTGAAGTTTTACTGTTCAAGTCTCTCTTGGATACAGAAGTTAAAAAAAAAAAAAGGCACCTCAGAAAATGCCTTTCCTCATGTAGCTTACTTTCTCAATGTAGGATTCTGGTATTAGAGGGTCTGGGACGGGAAGTGACGTAATGGTTTTAGCCTTTGGAAAGGAGCTCTGTAGTTTCTAGATTAAGAATATATTCTAAAAGGACAATGGAAAGTAGAAGCAGGGAAACTGATTAGGAAGCTATTAAAATAGTTTGAATGCAAAATATTATAAAATTATTTGAACTATAGGTTCATCCTTAAATTATTTTGTATTTACATTTTTGTGAATTCTTTCTATTTTTACATGGTTTTATGGAATTTATTTACCCTTAAAATCTTTGCCATTTAGGTAGCACTTAATGTTATTTAAGTCATTTTTATCATTAAATGTTTGGCTATTTGCTTGTGTCGCTGGTGTGTTACTCATACCTATAAACACTTCCTAACATTGATTGTGTTTCAGTTGATCCTGAGAACGTGTTCATCGGTCGCCACCTGATTATCGTGCTTTCCACGGTCGCTTTTACTTTGCCTCTGTCCTTGTACCGAGACGTAGCGAAGCTCGGAAAGGTAATGTTTACATTTTAAATTGTCACAGAAATGCACTTTGTTACCTGCGTTAATTTAACTACTGTCTATGTGACCAAGTTCTTAATTGCAGTATTCATCTTTGGTTTCTTTCAGTTTACTTCTAATTATGCTAGAGTAAACTCGGGTTGAATCTTTAGCTTATTTTGGGGAACTGATGATTAAATAGTTGATGAGTATGAAATAAATGTGTCCTTTATTTTTCTTTTTTAAGGTAAGTACTCTAACTGACATCAGACAGCATACTTTAAATTTAGAAAATGTAAAGAACTATACTTAAACCAAGTGTAATTTATTGAAAAAATGTTCTATCATTTTTTATAGATAGTAGTTAAATCAATTTAAAAGTAAACAAACTTAAGAGGTAAGGATGAATCACTTCATTGGCTTAAATTTTTTTGTAAGTTACAGTGTCTGTTGTGTCTATTTTTCCTCCAATGAATACAAATGTCAATGTGTTGATTGATCAATTGTTGAGAATTTGGCCAATATTTATGATTCTTATTGCTAAGAAGAAATACTGATTTCTTTCGAATGAAACCAACTAAATAATTGTTCAACTCACTGCGTATGCTCATCTGCATAGTTCAGCCTTTATCTGGCTGTATTTTATTTCCCTACTTTCAAGGAATGTTTGTATTTGACTCAAAATACTGTTGGTGCTGTATCTACACAATGCCAGCCATTCCAATAAAAAAAATATTTGTTATACATTTGACATTTTTAATATTCTATTTTTAAAAATCCAACAGTTGATTGAATGTTACTTTTCACTGGATGTTTGATGTGTATCCACAGTTAGGGAGTTTCTCTGTCCAGGTAGAGCTGAGAGTGGAGACGATGTTCCAGGGTATTTCAACCTCTCCCCCTTCCTTCCCTAACAGTCATCCAGGAATAAACAAGACTGTACAAAAGGGGCTTTTTTTGGTGAATTATCTGAAATAGTTGAAATGTTTTCCATTTCACATGTTCAATGTGGACATAAATGTTATCTTCTGAGAGAAGAAGGCAAGACCTTCATGACAAGAGAGCTACTAATATTCTATCATATCATTAATACCGGAACATTTTTTCTCTAAATGTATCTTAAAAGTCTCATGTTGACATATCTAAATAAATCTCCCAAAGAGCAAAGCAGGTTAATTAGGAGCCCTGATCGGGAGTCAAGCTGCTTGCATTTGAGTTCCCCTTCTGCCGCTTTCTGGCTGTATGACCTTGGGAATGTCACTTAATATCTCTCTTCCTCAGTAGATCAGAGGAATCATGATAGAATCTTCTTTCTAGTCAAAAACTAACAACCTAGAAAACATGGTTGATGACAATCAAATGAAATAAAAGGAATTTTATATTATTTTTTAATCAGAGAAAAAAGTCTAAAATGTGCTTATCCATTAAAAAATTAAGAGCGGAAACAGATCTAATGTAATGATGTAATAAGTGCACAGAACACATGCACACACAGACCAGTGTATATTGTAAGCAGTTGAAGTGGTGGCAGAAGAGAAAGGAAAATGGAAAGGAGAGAAGACTTAGAAACACAGACCAAAGGGCAAAAACACATAGGGAAAATAGACTAACAGAGCTAGCGAGCAGAAAGGAAAAAGCAGAGGCAAAAATGTAAGTGAGGGAATCGGGGATGGGGGTGGCATTGAAGGGAGAGGGTAAGATAAAGACAGAAGCAGAAGATTAAGTATACACAGAAAAAAGGTGCAAGTCAACACTAAGATACAGCCTGAGGAAAAAATAAAGCATAATTTCACTTTATTATTATTATTTTTTTTTGAGGAAGTTTAGCCCTGAGCTAACTGCTACCAATCCTCCTTTTTTTGCTGAGGAAGACTGGCCCTGAGATAACATCCATGCCCATCTTCCTCTACTTTATATGTGGGATGCCTACCACAACATGGCTTGACAAGCAGTGCCATGCCTTCACCTGGGATCTGAACCGGTGAACCCCAGGCCGCCGAGAAGCGGAATGTGCAGACTTAACCTCTGCGCCACCGGGCTGGCCCCTCACTTTTACTTTCATAAACTAAAATCACCAGTTTTGTAGTCTATGCAGGAAGCCATTAAAAGCATTGAAATCCATGTTGCAAGATTACAATAATTGTCATGTATGATACTTGCTCTCCTATTTAGGGGGAAAAAACTAGCACTGTGATCTGATAAGAAGTTATATGCCTGAGATTATCAACACCAATTTATAAGAATAAATTACCAAAGAATTATATTTTTAAAAACAGTACATAAGTTTACTCAGGTAAAAAGAGAAATACCTAATATTTTCAATAAAATAATCTCTATTCAAAGCTAACAATAGCTTTACTTTTTTTTTTTTTTTTTCAGATCTCTCTTATTTCTACAGTTTTAACAACTCTGATTCTTGGAATTGTGATGGCAAGGGTAGTGTCACTGGGTCCATACGTGTAAGTTTTGTTGCTATATTAGTTGGTCTTCAATTTACAGCCTTCCTATAGATAGAGATACATGACATATAAATACTGCGATAGAAAGTCATCATGGTACCAGAAGCATCATTTATCTTTAGTATTTGACACAATAAGAGAAAATAGTTATATGTAAGTAGACATGCATTTTTCAGCTGGACCCTGCATGGCTGAGGAGACTAAACTGAGTTTACTTATTATTTTAACAGCCAGCCCTAAGAATTAGAATAAGGAAGGAATTTTGAATAGTGAGAAATAGGAACATAGCAGAGCTCTCAGAAAGAAAAGGGGTACATTTGGCAGAAATTTCTATATCTACCCCAGAGATGGATTTATTCTTAAAGTTTCACCAGTCTAGGCTGAAATTAGAATAATAAACAATATAGTGGATGCCATTAAGCAAAAGGCAGGCACTTTGAAAACCACCCTTTATCCTCTACTAAGATTACATTCTTTAATTATTTTGTGTTAAAATGCTTTGTCATTTATGAACTGATGGTGATAGCTGATAGTGGTATTTATTTGTTTTTAATATTATTATTTGGCCAAATAAAATTTTGGCAACTTGGTATTGGTGCTCCAATTTTAATTTTGAAAATGTTACTTATCCACGAAATTCAAAGTGTGGCTACTGATGGTCTAAACTACACAATTTTTGTGCTTTGATTGTAGAATAGATTCCCAGGTAAGGACTGGGGAGTTTATATTCATTGACCCAGGAGAATGCTGGAATGAAACTAGCTAAAATTGGCTTTAAGCACAAAATTGGATTCCCACAATGCACAATAAATATTTATTGAATAAATAATACATTATGTAGTTTCCATGAGACTTTAAATATTTTCTCTATCCTAAATAAGACAAAATAAAATTAATTTAAGATGTAATGTTTAGCACAGTGCAAGGAACATGTTGGTCTTCAATGAATGTTATCTGTAAGAAAAAAATGGAAACCTGGTGAACAGCTAGAGTTACTAATGCCATCCCCAAGGCAACATTTTTTTCCTATTGATTAATTGTTCTGCAAAATCACTTCATTTTCAACTGTATGTGCTTATGTCAGTCTTCTTAGTTTACCAGGAAAGTACCAAAAATTATGCCTCAAATTTATCTGGAAGGAAGTATGAAGTATCTGGTCGAACTAAATTTGATATAGCCTTTTCTTTGAAAAAACAAATGCCTGTTTTTTAAAGGAGTTAAAGAAAACGGAAAAGCATAAATAACTATAATGTTTATATTAATGTTCTCTTCAAATAACTTAAATTCAGTTCATAGTTGTAATAGTCAGCTTCAGCTGCTGGAACAAAAAATTACAGACTGGGTGGCTTAAACAACAGGAATTTCTGTTCTTGTAGTTCTGGAGGCTCCCATCGTGGTTAGGTTCTAGCGAGGGATCTCTTCCTGGCTGCAGAAGGCTGCCTTCCCCTTGTGTCTTCACAGGGCAGGGAGTGAGAGAGACAGCAAGCTCTCTGGTGTCTCTTCTCCCCAAAGCCCACCAGTACATAGTTGTAGCTTCTAGTTGTGAGTGCCTCTGGCTGTGCTGTGTGCGATGCTGCCTCAACATGGCCTGATGACCCGTGCCATGTCCATGCCCAGGATCCAAACCACTGAAACCCTGGGCCAATGAAGCGGAGCACACAAACTCAGCCAGTCGGCCACTGGGCCGGCCTGTGGTGTCTCTTCTTAAAAGGGCACTAATCCCAGCAGGAGTGCCCCACCCCCACGATCTCATCTAAACCTAATGATTTCCCAAAGTCCCTATGTCCAGGCACCATCATAGTGCACTGGGGCTTAAGGCTTCAACATAGGAATTTTGTGAGGGGACACAATTCAGTCCATAGCACTACTGTTTTTGAAATGTGCCTGGTTCACTTTAACATGGCCATTTATTCTTTCATTTAGTAAATGCTTCTCAAATGCCTGTTGTTTCTAGCTATTTTGCTGTGCCTGGAAAGAAAAAGAGCAGAGAGGCTGTCAGCACCTGCTGCAAGTTGTTCACAGTCAAGAGTGGAGAAGGGACTTACTTTAAAAACAAAAAAGAAGAAAGAGAGGGGCTGGCCCAGTGACATAGTGATTAAGTTCATGTGCTCCACTTCAGCACCCAGGGTTCACCAGTTCGGATCCCAGGTGCAGACCTACACACCATTCATCAAGCCATGCTGTGGCAGGCATCCCACATATAAAGTAGAGGAAGATGGGCATGGATGTTAGCTCAGGGCCAGTCTTCCTCAGCAAAAAGAGGAAGATTGGCAGCAGATGTTAGCTCAGGGCTAATCTTCCTCAAAAAAGCAAAAAGGAAAAGAAATGACAGCACAGTATGAGAGGTGGAAAATAGAAGCATAAATGAGGGGCAGTGGCAGTGCCGAAGAAAAGAGTGCTTACTAGTCTGTCTGAATCAGGGAGGGCTTCCTGCAGGAAGAGAAGTATGATCTGGGTGTTTTGAAAGATGAATCTGAATTTTTCCAGATAGATAAGGGGTAAAAGGTATTACAGACCTAGGAAACATAAGCATAAAAGCATATATTAAATTCTGCTGACATTTATTTAGTGTCTATTATATTGGTACTGTATTCAGCTCTGGTTTTCAAAAGTTGAAGTCACAGCAACAAAAAGCTAGTAAGTATATTAAAGAGAATACAACAAATAATTTTTGGTTAAAAATTTTGATTGTATAAGGCAACTATTTTAATTGAAGCTTTATTATGAAAAGTGATTCTAGGGAACAAATCACAAAGTTATAATAAAAGGTCTTACAGATTTGGTAAATATAGTACTATGAGGCAATATTGAGGAAAACAAATGTAGTTAAGGGTTGGAGGTAAATAAATTAATCATTAATTGAGCCTCAGGAGAACAGTTGAAAGTAATGATTTTCCACTCTGGCTTCACCTTAGGAATTAGGATTAGAATCACCTTAGGAAATGGCTTTGAAGAGTACTGACCCAGGGAAGCACCTGCAGAGACTGAGAGAGAACTGGTCGAGGAGCTGGGGAACTGGATTTCTTCTTTAACGCTGAACAGGGATCTAGAGCCTCTTGGTTTAAAGAAATTAAAATTGTGAGGGCGCATTTTAACTTATGCATCATTTCTAAAATTAGACTGGAGATTTTGTGTTATTTTAGTTGCTGTTGTATCATTATTTTTCATGATTCATTCTCCACTTTTTTTTCCAGTATCTTTTATATATAAAATATTATTATGAATACAAAGAGAAATAAAATATCTGCTCTCAAGAGGCTCATAGCTTAGAGGGGGAGATAAGGCAACACAAATGAGCATCATATAGGCATTGTATCTTGATACAAAGGAAAGAGGAAGGAGAGACACTTCCTGGTGGCGTAAATGAATTGATTTTATGGCCAAAGGGCTGTTTATTTCTGTTGTAAACAAAATGTGGCCTGTATCTTTCTAACCTTTCTCTAGTGGTGATATCATATTTTATCTGAGCCTTTGAAACTTCTCTAATAACATGGATTATTTGCTTAACTCTTTCAACATTTAGATGTTAAAGAAGTGTGTTTTTTAATACTGTGCTGCCTTTTATTTCTGTTTGAATACTACTGCAAACAACTTCTGTTTGTCCAGATTTACAGTCAGGCTAATGAAATCCTGTGTTCAGTGGTTGGCTTAGGAGCTAGGCAGGCGGGCGTCTTTCTGAAAATATGACAGCCACGAATGCTTATAATCCATAAAACATGAGAAATTCAATACTCCATGTGTGTTTTCCTCATTCTTGGTTCAGATGAGTGATCAGAAAAGCTGCACTTTTTCATAGGGCTTTTAAAGTGGTGTTGGAAGCAGGTCTTTAAACCCACTATCAGAGCAGAGGAAGGTGTGTCATAGCTACTGGTGTTGACCTTGTTACTATGGAAACACCTTTTTAGTGACTGTATTATAAAAATAAAACACAAAATTCAATTTCCTTTTCTATACCTCATAAGGCTATAAATTCTGCTTTTTGATATGATTTCAAATATCTCACAGTCCAATGGCTTTCATTTCTTTTTGGAAATAATGTTCAGTTTTATTGTATTTTCTAACCTTTTGCTTTCTAAAAACTGAGGTGGCAAGGCAATTTAATTGCTTCCCAGAAAGTGTGCTAGTATCAAAATACAGTAACACAGGTCTCTCATTTCTTTTCCAAACTACAATCAGAAGCATTATCACTGTGAAAACCTTCATTCTGTGCCTTATCAGTATTCAATTCTTTACATTCAGGATGGAAATGATAGCATGCAGTCCAAATTGACGACTGTGTTCTCTTCATATAACATCTCTTTTATGGCATTTTTAATCAATAGTGTGGTGTTCAAAACATAATTCTGAAAAGTGTACCTTTACTTTCAACAGGTATTTATGCATATAAAACGTGCCTTCCCCAACGATCTCAACACCTATTAGTTTCTTTGCCCTTTATCCAGTCTAACCCTGAAATTCTACAATTTAATGCCATACAAAAAGAGAAACTAGAGGGAATTAAAGAAAGGATAAGGAAAAAATGGGCAAAGACAGAGGAATACTGCATATTTGAAAAAGGAAACGATTAGTTGTGTCATACAGTGGCCCCTGATTTTTTTGATGATGTATAAATTATTGCCCTTTTTGTTGCAAATGACAACAACCATAGAACCCCAACTGGTTGAAGCAAAAGAGAATATATTGACTCACATAAGTTCAAGGGTATTTCTGTTATTAGATTTAGTTAGATTTAGGAGGTCAATCAATGAAATCAGACGTAGTTTCTCTTTTTTCATCTTGGCTTTGCTTCCTGTTTTGGCTCTAGTTTCTGAAAGGTTTACCCCTCATTGCGACAAGATGGAAACAACAGTCTTAGCCTATATCCACTCAAGTCCAAGTCCATAAAAAGAAAAAGAGCTTTTTCTTTTAGGTTACCTCTAACCTCACTTCCAGTATTCGTTCTGATTAACTCTAATGAGGACCCATGCCAATCCCAAACCCTGTTGTCATGGCCTGTGTGG